GGGTTCTCGATCGATGATTGGCTTTGTTAATTGATGTTCTCATCCACGAATCCACGATGTTCTCTCCACGACCCGCACACTGAGCAGCCGAGTAAATCCCGCACCATCGTAATCCACATTTCTGCGTATGGTTTGTGATATGTTTCTTGTCGTTATTGGATTTTTGGGGACAATCAGTATTTAGTTTTGAGAAAATACGGTTCCGTTTGCGGTTTGTCGATTCCGCATTGCTAAAAATCGGCTGGCGCCCTAAATACACGAAGTAAGGATTGGATGAGCTGCTGATTGTTCCCGGAGTCCAATTTTAGCGTTAGGGTTTTTGGCGTTTCAGACTTGTCGGATTACGAGAACGAAGGTAGTGAGTTGGCCGTGTTTGGATAGTCGAGAATTTTGGGTTAGGGTTTATTGCGTTTTTGTTGAGGCCAAAGAAAAATCATTACAAAACCTAGAGTATGTCTCGGGATTTACTAGAGTTGGAATGAGCTCGTAACTTAGAGTTTTTCTACGTTTTCTCTGAGGTCTTGGTAAACGAACTCTCCGGCCTTATAAACGAACCATTAAATCTGGCCGACAATCACACGACCAGTATAAATGGAGTGGGAGAAGTCAGGATGGTCGTGAATAATAGATGTGAAGACCAGAAAATTAAGTTGAATAAGCCTATCACGTTTAAAATTTACGGACTAATTTACTGTCAGTTTCGAAAATTACTGACAGAGATTGTGAGGTCACATTTCGTAAGGGAGAGGCAGTAGTTAGAGATAGAAATGGTAGATCACTCAGCATAGCGGAGATACGAAGTGACTTGTATTTTGTTAAGGATGGGGCTGAGACTGTTGGGGCGGCCGATGTGACTGGAGGGTGGAAACCTGAGAACTTGTTGGAACTATGGCATTATCGACTTGGACATTTAGACGTGAGCGATTTGAAGATGATGATGAGTGAAAACATGGTACATGGTTTGATTTTCAAGCACGGTGCGGAGATGAGAAGCTGTGAGGTTGGCGAAAATTCAACGCTTCCACCGTTTGCTTTAGTCGAAGATTATCGCACGAAGACGAAGTTTTGGAAATCGTACATGCGGACGTTTGGGGTCCGATGAGATGTGCGTCTCTTTCCGGAGCTCAATTTTTTGTGGTCGACGTGGACAACAAGTTCAGATGGGTAACGGTGGATGTTTTAAAGGAGAAGTCGTAGATGTTCGAGAGTTTCAAGAAGTACAAGTCGAGAATCGAGACTTAGACTTGCAAGAAGATCAAGTTTCTGCAGTCGGACAATGGGAGAGAGCTGTGCAATCGTGCATCTGATGAGTTTGGAGTTCTGGAGGGGTATGGAATTCAACGGCGTTTGACAGCGTCACGCACTCCGAAGTAAAATGGCGTTTGCCGAACGGATGAATCGTACACGCGTAACGATGGCACGCTGTCTATTCTGACAGGGGAGTATGTCGCCTGCGCTTTGGGCTAAGGCTATTAATACGGCGGCTGACATCAGAAATCAGTACGTGAGCAGAGCGCTGACGGTTGCAACTCCTCACAGTATTTGGAAAAAGAAGATTCTGACGTTGATACACTTCAAGACGTGTAGTTACAAGGCGTTCGTATTGTGCAAAACAAAGGAAGCAAAATTCGATTCTCGAGCGGAGGAATATGTTTCCGTCGGCTATTCGACGGAGTCAAAGGTATATCGCCTCTGGAATCCTGCGAGTCGGAAGTTGATCATCAACCGAGACGTCAAGTTCATTGATTCGTTCCATTTTTCAGAAGACTTCGAGGAGTTTTGCGAGGAGAGAGAAGATGATGTGGACAGTTTACCAGGGAACACGTCGATGATACAGGTCATGACAGATTTGCCGAGAAGCTCTAGAAGTTCAAATGTTTCACAGCGTCGTAGGCCAGGTAGACCAAGAATTCTTCGTAATGGTTCCGTGGAAAGGCTGAAGAAGGTTTATGTTCATTGTGATGATGACCTTAGATGTTAAACGTGATGTCATTGACGATGATTTTGTTGATGAGTTGGCAGCACCAGCGACAGGAGCGGAGGTTAATGAGTTTGCTTTAAACTCCGCTTTGTCTGAACCTGTTACTTGGGAAGAGGCCATGAAAATGGATGACGCAGCTGCACGGCAAACTGCTCCAGAAAACGAGTTCTTATCGCTTATTTTCAATGAGAGTTGGGAACTGGTGAGTTTTCCAGCTGATCGTAAAATTATTAAAAATCAACTTGTTTTTCGTACCAAATAGGATAGGGAGCGAGAGAAAAAGAAGATTTGTTTGGTAGCGAAAGGGTGTGCTCAAATTTCTGGTATCGATTTCACGGAGACGTATTCTCCGGTGGTGAAGGCGACCTCCATTCGTCTTGTGGCTACTTTGGCCGCTGAGAGAGGCTTGGATATTGATCAAATGGATGTTCTCACCGCATATTTGAATGCATGTCTTGATGAGACAATCTATCTGGACACTCCTGTTCAGCTAGGGGAGGTACTCGAGAAGATTGTTGACGTTAAACCAGTTGGTCTCGAAGCGAAAGTGGTTGAGGATCAAAAAACGATTCAGGCTATATGCTAGTTGAAGACTATGAAGGAAGAGAAGATTGTGCCTGCTTACTGAAGCGGGTGCTCTAGGGATTGGAACAGTCAAGATTTCAGTGGTACAAGCGACTCAGGGATGTGTTGCCGAAGATGGTATTGAGTTCATCGTCATGTGATGTCTTTTTTATATCAACAATGAAAAGGAGATGTGGTTGCTTGCGATGTATGTCGATGATATACTCATCGCTTTCAACAGCCCGTGGTGGACTCAACATGTCAAGATGACGTTATCGAGATCTTTCCAAATGAAAGACCTGGGCAAATTTAAGAAGTGTCACGGAATTGAGTTTCATCGAAATGAGGATGATGATAGTTCGGGTTTGTCTCAGGCTGACTACGTGGATAAGTTAAGTATCAGAATCTTATCGAAGTATTGATGTATGTGACGATTATGACGCGACCGGACAGCGTTTTCGCGATGAGTTTCTTAAGCCAATTCAATTCGTGTTATAACTAGATACGTTGAAAGGCGGCGCAACGTGTTTTGAGCTATCTCAATGGTACTAGGAATTATCAGATTCGTTACACGGGAAGTTACAAGAGAAGTCGACGTAAATTGGGCGGCTAATCATTTGGATCGTTACTCTTTTTCAGGCTATGCTTTTATCTACGCATCAAGTTCAATCAGCTGGGAGGCTCGCAAGCAACGTATCATTGCGTTGTCTACAACGGATGCGGAATTGATAGCGATATCGGAAGCAACAGGCGAGGCGCTTTATCTTCGGAAATTACTGCAGTCGATCGGTTTGCAGTGCGACAGGATTACACTCTGGAATGACTCAGAAAGTGCTCAGAGTCGTGTTAAGAGTCCAGCAACTAACTCCAGGTCCAAGCATATGGACGTTCGGCACAACTTCGTTCGAAAGAATATCGACGAGGGCTTTCTTATGCTGGAGTACATGTCGGTTGATCGGACACCAGCCGCCGTGCTCACCAAAGGATTGACACATGTGTGTCACTTGAACTGTTCATCCTTATTGGGAATTAAAATTTTATAATTCAGTTATATGTTGCAGGTATCAGTCATTCACCAGTCTGCTTTGAAAAGGAGGTGCTGAAAAGTTGTATTAAAAGCAGTCTGGTTATCGGCTGAAATCTTTGAATTATGGCGAACCACCGGGCTTCTCTTGTCATGCGCTTCGAGCGGATGGTCGGATAAAAATGGTGAACGTATAGACTGTAAGGATATTTTTCTGGGTTATTCACCCAGGAAGAATTCAAACTACTCTTTAACCTTCTCTATCGCTCGTATGTTGGGCGCCAGTCCAACAAAAACAGGTCTCTGAGGCAAACTCGTCTACTCAGAGGACTTTTGTGGCTGCACAATGATTTGTCCAGCTGACATCAACGTGACATGGTGGAGTGGGCGAGGTTCACCAGGAGTATTTCCATCGCATCCTCACGAGCCTCTATTTCGGGCCATGCATTAGGTCTTGCGGCCTAATTACCTTATTGAATTTAATTCACCGCCATTTTGGAGGATCTTTCGATTCATACAACATGCTTTCTCTTCCCGAGTATTTCTACTCGGGAGAGTTTCAGAGTTATTTGCAAATCAGCCAGGACTTCTCAGAGCCTGAGACGTCGAGAGGCTGATCCGACCAGGGTGGAACTACGTTACCCACCTTACGGCCACCCAAACTCTCGACCACCAGTTACTGCTTCGGTCATCGCGAGTCACCATCTCCGGATAGTACTAGCTCGTCGGCGTATGGTCGGGCCGACAAGAGGATAAATCTACTCCAGGCCCACGGGCCCATACGCTTCCAAATCGTCCCGCCGAGACTGCATAATGCCGGAAACAACGAAGTCGTCCCTTCGAGTGCCGAAATAACTCCTTTTTCCCCATTGTGGCGAATGCAGGAGCATTCCCCTCCGTTCGCTACCATCAGTTATGCAGCTGGCCACGCTGGGCTACGCCCTCTGTCCCTGGCCGTATTTCAAGCCAACACCACAAATTACTCCGGAGATTCTTTCGACCTCTCCACTCGAGCGTCCGCGTTCGACTCTCCCGGAATCTTACTAGGGCCTTCTCTCCCTAGACTGCATATCTCGGCGACGGTTAGGCTGAAGGCGTAGCATTTGGGTGGAAGGCATAGCGGTTCCACCCAAAACCGCTATGCCTTCCGCCCTTCATCGGTCTATGGCTTTCTCCATCTAGTCGTGGCTCTTTCAATCGCCTCTAGATGTCTCTTCCTGTCCCTCTTATCATAAATTTAAGAGTGCAACTCTCTATTTAAGGGGATTTCAAACCGTAACGAGGAAGTCTTGTTACAAACACATGCTGATTATTCTTGCAAAATGTATTCCAAGCATATTGATGCAATCTTTATAATAAATAGTGTTAACCCGAGTGATTGAGTTTGCTGAGTTAATTTCCAAAACATACGACATACAATAAATCTGAATTTATTCTTGCAAGTAGTACCTCACCATTAATATTGAAATATCATCTAAGTATAATATGAGTTTTTGATTTTAGTAATATCGTCATCCGGCCCTTCGGTTTTTTCGCTGTCTTCTATTTTTCTTTCTCGATAATATCTCATACGCCTGTTGAATCTCCATAAATTTGTCTTGAGCAAATCGTTTCTCCTCCTCGTCGCCCTTGACTTTATCAGGATGATGTTCTTTGGATAGAGTTCGCCATCTCGTTGTAATTTCACTCTCTGAAGCCGTTGTGGATAAATCCAGTACCTGAGAAATAAGAATCAGTTAGATTTTTCATCAATTCAGTGATTTTGCTGCTGGGAGTAAAAGAGCCACGATTTTAGATTTATATGCATTGGACCCATACTATCCTATACTATCGTTTTTATCACAACGTATAAAAAGTTATTTCGTGAAGGTGGAACGCCATGCGAACTATGATATATTGATGTCAACTTTTTGCATCTTCAATCTTCAAACGTTCTCTGAGCAGTTATTCGTTCACTTGTCTGTGCACTATATTGCTCAGGCGCCTGTATAAATTATGTACTTCTCTAACGGTAATCAATTATATTCATCAATTATAAACTTTTCCACTATTTCCCAGGCAGAAATATTTGCGGGGTTTAAGAAATTGAACCTAGGGGCAAAGCTTTATTGCTAGGTAGCATTTGTTAGTCAAATTCGAGGTTACCACCACCTCCTCTGTACCGTGCATGTTGAAGCTAGCAAGTGTCTGACATTGTCGGTCTACCCAACAATGATTGATCAAACAAAATACGGCTTTGATGAGTACTTCGTTAGCGATTTGTGGCTAGTCTAATCGACAGTATTGCTATTGCTGAGTGAAAGCTTATTTGTAATCGTTGACTTCGAATAAAACAAAAATAATTTTTTTTTGTAAAAAAAACCTGCGCCAAGGAAAAGTATTGTTTGGTTCTTGATAGAAAAAAGTAACCAAAGTATTGTTCAAGAAAACTATTCTTTGGTAAAAATTTTGAAAAAATACAAATAAATAAAAAAGTAAGCCAAGTCAGGAATGTCAAATGAATTTGTCTAGACAGAAGCAGATTTTTCTAAAAAAAAATAGTTCTTAATATTAAAAGAAGTTTAAAAAATTCTCCATGCAATAAACCACCTGAAGGAACAGAAAAAACGTCCTTGGCGTGGATCAGAAGTTAGAGGATTTGATTAATAATATAGACAGTAAGTTGAAAAACTCGGTTCCAAGAACGTTGGTCCTGCTCTTCCAGATTTTTCATTTCATGCAGAATTTGCTTTCATCTTTTTTGCATTAAAAACAGTTTTTCTTGTAAAAATCTGTTTGTGCACTACTAATTTGACATTCCTGCAGGAATGACTAGGGTTGCTTTTTCATTTATTTGTATTTTTCAAAAATTTTGACTTCCCAGTAAGAACCAAATTAGCATTTCCGTGGCGCAGTTTTTTTACAAAAACATGTGTATTTGTTTGTTCAGAAGTTTTCACTAATTTTTTCAAAACAAGCAAAGAATTGTTCCGTATCATTGTTCTTTTCAATTCAACTCAGTCATTTTTTCACAAGATAATACATCCTTTCAATTGAAGGGAAACAAACAGTTCTACTCTAGATTGATTGTGTTTACTGACTTTTGATCATTTATTCAGAATTCAGTCGTAATTTGTTTCTCCTATTCAACTTTTTTCTTCAATTTATTATGGGGATTATATTTTTTTGTGCCATGGGTTGATTTCCTTTCAGGAACAAGCGATCAAAATGTTTCATTGATAGATATTTTTATAAAAATATTTGTTTTTATTTTCCTTTCGAACGGAAGCATTGCATTCGATCGATTTTTCAACTCGCTAATTTTACTTGGAAATGATGCAGAATTGTCTGAAACAGATAAATTCGAAGTTTGAGGACCATTTCTGTGTGTGATCATGTCCAGTTGGTGGTCACTTTTTCTTAAAATTGACGAATAAACGGGAAAAATTATCCCAAATAATTTGACTATTTCTCTGTTTATTGGTATAATTTGGGACTAACTTTACGCCAAAGTTCAGCTGAATCCGTCTATTAGTTTTTTGCGAAATTGCGATTTGTTTTTTTTACGCTTTTTCCCAAATATCTCGGAAAATATCGAACCGATTAAAATATTTTTTCTTTAAAATGCTCGCCGTGATGTCCTCTGTCTTAATTAATCAAAATATATATACCCATTCATACAAAGTTTTCGAGATATATCGATTTTTCTACTTTTACCTCGAAATCGTTGATCGGTCTCTAGCAGACGCAAAAATCGGAATATGAAGTTGAAATTTGTCATGAATATGCCTCTAGTAATAACAACGGTTCGTATTGAATCTGGGCTGAATTGGATAATTTGTTTCAGAGATATTCAACTTTGTATGTAAACCTAATTTCTCTAATATCTCAATAACGAGTTAACTCATTGCAATATTTTTTTCTAAATATTGGTCTTGATGTCCTTTATCTTCATGAATCAAAATGTATATACCCGTTTATATAATGTTTTGGAGATATATCGATTTTTCTATTTTTACCTCGAAATCGTTGTTCGGTCTCTAGCAGACGCAAAAATTGAAATATCAACTTGAAATTTGGCAAGGCGGTGCCTCTGATAATTACAATACTTCGTATTGAATCTGGGCTAAATCGGATAATTAGTTTTCGAGAGATTCAACTTTGTATGTAAACCTAATTTCTTCAATATCTCTGTGGCGAGTTAACTTATTGCAATATTTTTGTTTTGATGTCCTCTATCTTGATCAATCAAAATATGTATACCTGTTCATACCATGTTTTCGACATATTTCGATTATTTCGATTATCATATTTTTTACTCAAAGTCGTTGTACGGTCTTTAGCATACGTAAAAATCGAAATATCAGCTGGAAATTTGGCAGACAGCTGCTTTTGGTAATTACAACGGTTTGTTTTAAATCTAGGCTAAATCAGATAATTAGCTACAGAGATATTCAATTGTGTATGTAAGCTTAATTTCTTTAATATCTCAATACCGAGTTAACTTAGTGCAATATTTTTTTTCGAGATGTTCGTCTTTTTATCCTCTATCTTAATCAATCAAAATATATATACCTGTTCATAGAAGGTTTTCGCGATATTTGGATTTTTCTATTTTTGAATAAAAGTTGTATGATTTCTAGCTGACGTAAAAATCGAAATGTCAACATTTTTTTAGATAAATTCTGAGTTTATGGATAGAATTGTACCTTCAATAATTATCGTGAGGAAGCAACGATTGGAATAATGTTCCTGTAGAAAAATTCTCATAGAAGAAAGAAAGTTGTGAAAATTTAATTTACTAAATTAGCATTGGGCAAGAAAAAATACCACTTCCTAAGATTATGTGTGTCTGTGCGGGTGTCCAGCTGATGTGCAACTTTTAACGAATCAAAGATTTGAAGGCGTAGAAAAATTCAGAAAAGATCTCGAGTTTGTCAGATTATAGGTATTAATCAGGACTAACGCTCAGGATTAAAGCTTGATTACAGCACAATCGACTGAGTTGTTTTGATGAAATTATTGCTCATGAACTTTTTTGAAAACATCTCGAAAATTAGTCAAACGATTTCAATTTAATAAAAATTATTTTCATCACGCTATGCGTACAGTAACGTACGCGGAGCGTGCATAAAACCCCACCTCCCACACATTGTGATGAAAAATAGGGTTCGATACTCGCGGCAAAAGTGTTTTTAGACTCGTAGGATTATATCACTCGCCTTTGGCTCGTGCTATACACCTCCCACGAGCCCAAAAACACTTTCCCGTAATCGTATCGAAATATACTATTTTGTGATACCTGCCTGAAAAGTTCACTTTTCGAAACCGTTTAGTGCCCATAAAGTGCTTATTTTACGCAATTATTTTATGGTAGCATAGGTTTTCTTTAAATTTTTAGCAGAATCAAATGTTATTACGCTAAAAACCATTCGGAAGCCCACCATAAATTTATTGATCGCAAAAAAAGTATAAAAAAAATTAATGAGTGAGATGTTCACTGCCACATGCTCGCTGCTCCCTGCTTGTTTTATTTTGGAGATAGTATCAATTTTGTGCAAATAATGGCAAAAGTGTTTTCTTCTTCGTCACAGTTCATCGTAACCTAATACAAACCATCGTCCCCACGAAACTGTAAATTGAAATCACTCGAAGAAAAATCCATATTTTGGTTAAAATTAGCTTATCCACAGAAATTTAATAGTTTATCACACAATTTTCGACAAATAGCAGTTCTGCCAGAATCCAAACATAAACTATAACCTCGTAAACTATCTTCGTCTCCGAGGTCCGGATTAGTCCAGTCAATCCGGCTGATCAAAGTATGACATCGTCTACAAAAACCGGCTGGTAATGAACTACCAGCCTGTTTTACCGGCCTGAATTATCAATCGATCAATAAAAATATTCTGAACAATATAACAAAATGGTTAAGCATGATTTCACCCGGCAGGTATTCAAATTAATTAGAAACTATCGACTTTGTCGGCCCTAAAGAATAAATAATTGCCACGTGAAAAATTCCTGAATCTTTTCAACCTCAAATGATGCTCAACAATAATATGAGTTCCTGAGGCCCACCCCATTTCAGCGTGCGCAACTCAATCAAACACGCGCAATACGCAATGGGTCGAACGTACGTTACGTGCTGCCATATATATTGTTACGAATAGAATCGTTTAATCTATCCTCTTTCCCTCTAATTTAAATGAAGGAAAGTACAATAATTCTCTGATGTTCGAAAATAACTTCATGTATGATGAATTTTTGTTTTTATGTTAGATTCTGAAAAACTATCAATAAATACGCCCCTACGTTAATTCATTGAATTTTTATTAATTTAAATGTAACATTTGGTGTCAGAAGTGAAACATGAACAGTGGATATTGATAAATAAAATGGTTATTGATTACATTCAAACTTAACAATATTGAATTAAGTAAATGAGAGGTCGTTAACGTGACAGTTCTCATCAGAAGATCATGAGTGACATCTCAGATAATGATGAGGATGACCATCCTTTTGGGCCGAGACGTGATCATTACCGCCCGTTTTCGGTACCAGAAGGGAGGAATTGGAGAAATGAGATGGATGCGAGGTTTGAGATAATGCGGAGAGATCTAAGCGATAAAATGGGGGAAGGCTTCCAATAACAACGTCAAATCATTACTGAGGAATTCGTACGACATTAAGAGAATTACTTGAAATGAGGAACGACTCACAACAGTCATCGAGATCA